GGCTATGGGTACAGGAGAAGGACTTAATCACAGATGGAGGATTTCAATAGTATAATTTGCTAAGGAATTAACTTCCAATTCCCTGGCATGTGCTTAACATTGTTCCTTTATAGCACTTGCCCCTAGTATAATAAAAATCTGTGAACGAGTTGTTCAGTGTTAAGACTGCAAATGCCAGGAAAACAGAGAGGACTTCTGTGTGTTCACTGAATACTCATGTTACATAGTAAAACACCTTGACACACTGTAGGCAATTATTATATAGTGCTCAGTGACAGTACAGGCAAAGGTGTGGGAAACAGGTAACTCTCATTCACTAAGTGAAAACTGATATACCCCCTTTAAAGTTCACTGAATACTCATTTTGGCCTAATATCCAGGGCCAAGATTTAAAAAAAATCAAGATTTATGTGAGGCTAAATATAGAATGTTCTTCTGATAGTAAATAAAAATTCATGACAGGGCCTTCCCGGTGGCGCAGTGGTTGAGTGCTGGGTTGCGAAGCTGCCTGCAACCTCTGCAGCACCGGTTCGATCCCCGGCCACTGGGTGAGGGTTCCACATGGCATGCAGACCTCTCCTGCCGCTCGCTACTTCCATCAGCAGTGTACTTCGTCAGTCTGCCTGCTCTGCTCTCCCCTCTGGCACTGGTGAATTCTCTCACCCTCCCGTGCTTCTGACTGTACCCAGTGCTTGTATAAATAAATAAATAAATCTTAAAAAAAAAAAAAAAAAAACTCATGACAGAAGTTTAAAATGTTATACTTTCAGGTTTCTGTGAAATGTTATGAATAGTAGAATACTAAATAATTCTACAAAGGATAAAATATTATCTTTATTATTTTACCTGGTGTTATTATTTTAAAATGTATAAACATTTATTAGGTTAAAAAAGTTGTACAACCACACAAGTAAATAGACAATTGATTTATGACAAGAGTGCAAAAGCAATTAAGTGGACTAAAGAATAGTTTTTTAATAAGTGATTACAGAAAAGTAGATATATAAATGAAAAAACAAAAAAGGTACTTCAGCACCTCCCTGTTGGCTTAGGGGTTAAGTCTCAATACTACCACCATGATAGACCACCAAGGGGGCCCGAGTTCTATCACCAGCCAGGAAGCTAACCCACATATGGTGCAGCACCCCGCTCCTGCTCCCCCACTGCTCCCCTCAACAGTGTATTTCAGTAACTCCACCTGCTCTGTCCCTGCTCTGTGGTGAATCCTCTCACCCTCTGCATCTCTGGCCAACTCTCCAATTCTTCTATGGAAAAATAAATGAAAATCTTTAAAAAAAAAAAAAAAGGTATTTCAATTCATACCTTGCACCATATGAAAAATAAAATAAAAATGAATGGCAGACCTAAATGTAAAACCTAAAACTATAAAGCTTTCTTCGTGATGTTGGATTAGGTAGATTTATTATGTATAATAATGAAAGCACAGCCCATAAAAAAGCAAATTGATAAAACTTTTCAGAAAAAAGACAGCAGACTGGGAGAAAATATTTGCAAAGCATAAATCTGATAAAGGAATTATATCTTGAATATATAAAGAAAACCCAAAATTCAATGACAACAGCATAACTAAAATGATGGGCAAAGGATTTGAACATAAACTCACCAAAGCAAACATACAAATGGCAAGAAACTCATTAAAAAATGCTTAATAGCATTAGGGAAATTCATATTAAAACCATAGTGAAGGTGGCCTCCCTGATGGTCTAAGGGTTAAGTCTCAGTGGTATCACCACTATGGCCTGAGTTCATCACACCAGGGAGCTAACTCACACATGGCACAGCAGACCTCTCCTGTCTGGTCCACTGCTCCCATTAGCAGTGTGTTTCAGCCTGTTCTGCTCCCCACTCTGTCTCTGGTGAGTCCTCTCACCCCCACACCTCGGGCCTACACCTCAGTTCTTCTATACAATAATAAAGAAAAGTAAATAAATAAAACCATAGTGAAATACCACTCTGCACCTATAAGAATTAATCAAATTTTAAAATACTGATCACAGGAAGTGTTGGGGAGGATATTCAACTACAATTCTCATATATTACTGGTAGGATGTAAAACTGATACAACCACTTTGGAATATGATTTGGCAGATTCTTAAATAGTTAAACATACCAGCCAGTCATTCTACTCCTTGGGACTTATCCATGAGAAATGAAGGTGTATGTCCAAATACAGACTTTTATATAGATGCTCATAGCAGTTTTATTCATAATAACAGGAGAAAAAATGGAAATACAACCCAAATACTCATTAGTAAGTTCTGGGTAAACAAATTGTGGTATATCCATATAATAGAAAAGCAAATGAATTAAAAATTTAAAATTATTAAAAATAAATGAATCATTGAAACATATAACAATCTACAAGAATCTAAAAGTAATTATGCTAAGTAAAAGGCAGACTGAAAAGAAAACAGTTCCATTTATATAAAATTCCAGAAAATGCAAACTAACCTAGTCACAGAAAAACAGATCAGTGTTTGCTTGGTAACGGGCAGAGGAGAAGCACGGAAGATTCATGAAGAAGCACATGGAAACATCTTTTAATATGTTCACTATTGATTATAGTGAAGGTTTCTAGGGTATCTATACATTCATCAAAACATCAGACTGAATGTTTCAACTATCTGCAAGTATGTCAATTTTATCTCAATAAAACTATTTTTTCAAAGGACAAAATATTGGTAACACAACTACTCTAAGGGCATAATGCTTACACAGACCACATCATATTCACTTCTGTTTTACTTGTTAGCTAAAAGTTACTAGGCTACGTGGCCTATGAGGCTGGTAAAGGAAACTTAAACTAGGAGCATCGCAGAATTGAAAACAACCAAACAGGTTTTTGTCTGTTTGTTTAGAATGAATTCATATGGCTCCAGATAAGGCTGTGTGGGCACTCTCTTGTCAAGTTCAACAAACCCTAGGAATTTCCAGTCTCCTAGCAGATCAGGAGTATAGAAGCCAGCTATGCCTCTAAAGAACTTACCCATTTATATTTTTATAACATGGCTTGATGCCAGTAACTTGGGCTGGGATTTAAGAAAATCCTAATTCAATCCACAGAAGAGTTTTGTCTTTCAAGATTCCAACTAAGCACTAATATTCTGGATGTCAAAGTTGCTATGGTTCAGTGATTCATTTGGAAGGTAGAAAAAGGGAGAGTTATTGTCTGTTGTTCTATACTGCTCTAATTTGAGGAAGAACTAGTCTACACTAAATAATGTAGAGCCTACCTCTCTCCCTATTTTTTAAGTACTTCCTTCACTCTCTTATCCAACAGCATCTTGGGTGAGGATGAGATCATATTAAAACACACACACCCCCCACACACTAAACAATAGCAGGCACTATAAGCAGATTCTATATTTTAAGTGTCTGCTTTGGATCATATTCAAAAATGTGATATCTGTCAGACTGTTTTAAGAATTAATCATAAGAGGTATTTTTTTCCTTCCTTGAAACAAATGAAATAGAGGACACAGAACATAATTTAAAGCAACTTGCGAATTTTGCAACTCATCTGAATAAAGCCCCTTACTGTCTAAATCTGTATTACCTAACACTAGTACTTACAACTTACTGAAAGTTCATTTTGCAAATGAAAAGGTATAGCTATTCCAACATTTTCTAGCTATTATATTCTCACTGCTTATATTGTCAATCTCCTTCCCTATTCATAGGAAATTCTTTATGTAATTATTTTGGTACATAAAATCAGCAACTCTCAGTTAATGACAATTGCACCACTTTACCCTAATATACATTCAAACATCAACTGACAGAATTTCAATGTATAAATCACACAGAGAATATACTAAGTTCTAACTGGAAAGCTTACCAGAGAGAGAATATACCAAGTTCTATCTGGAAAGCTTACCAAGGAATTCAAATGTTAGGCCTTAATTATACTGATGTTGTTACACTGATTAGATATGTGGTAACCTATTGCTATCACATGATGGTAAGTCACACATAATTCAGGAATGCTACAAATGCTCAGTTATTCAGCTTCCCAAAGGTTCAAATTAGAGGGCACATTTCTGTCAAATACTGACGAAAAACATGAACTTCAGTGGCCCTCTGTATTAGAGAATTTGGCAATACCCACCAAAATTAAAAATGTACATATCCTTTGCATAGCTCTTCCATTTTTATGAATATATTTTATGTGTACAAAATGTTCTATTTTCAAAATATTTATTACAGCACTATTTCTTATAGAAAAGATTGGACTGTCCATAAGTAAAACTACCAAACTTGTGGTAGTGTAAGAGACTGCATACTCAAAGGTATTAAGATAGTGATCACTGGTTAAGAAATTACCTGGGTTCAAATCCCCAGTCCTATTTCTTAGGAGCTGAATGCCTAATTTGCCTCATTTGTTGCAAGGGGATGAAAGCAATATCTATTTTACAAGGTTGTTATCAGGTTTCTGTGAGTTAAGACATCTAAAGTATTAAGAAAAGCCTAGAGTAGAAATAAACACTCAAGAAATGTTACATATGGCTATGATGGTACATTAGTACAACAGAATACTAAATTTTATATAATTTATGTATGTATAATAATAAATTATACATGTATAAATATACACACACACATATAGATGAGATAGCTTTAACTGTATCAATGGGTAAAGGCCTCCAATATAACAATGCTAGGTGAAAAAATGTAGAATTCAAAATAATAAGAAGAGATGCTACCTCTGTGAACAAATACATGGGAAAAAAGAATAGAGATTGAAAGGGGGAAACACACTCACACATATGAATATATACTTTTTACTGTACTTGTACATGTGCTGTCTATGTAACTTACTTAAAAATATTTTTTAATGATTCAATGAGTGCTAAAACAAGAAATAAAAATCCAAGTTAATTGTATGATCCCTCACTGAATCATTACGTATACTATATATACCCAGCAGAGTATGTTCATTGCAAAAATAAAAACACGTAACATAGAAAAGTAAAAATCACCTGAAATGCCCATCCAACCACTCTGAGATAACCACTAAACATGGTGATTCTTTCTGCAATTCATCTTAAACAGACATGCGCAAACATGTAGTCTTCCATGCAAGTTACTGTGGATATCCTGCCTTTTATCTTTCTGTTTCTTCTTTCACACTTCTTTCTTCCAATGTTGACAACTATGTAAGCACATATAAAACTCAGGATGATTTTCAATTGTTGTATGATAATTGGATCTCATATATCTGTTTCTCAAAAATTTTGCTGTTCTCACCAAAGATACATGAAGGAAATGTTTTCAGGATCTCTTTGGAAATCTTCTTAACTCATCAGTATAGATTTAACTCCCACTTTTTAATGACTTCAAAAACATACCATCACCTGACACAGGAGCCAAATTTATATAACAATACCCCTATTGACAGGCACTCCCTTTGTTCCCAGGTTTTTGCTACTATAAACACTGCAGCAATCAATGTTCACATAAACACTTGCTTACTCACCCGTGTTTTTATTTCTAAGAAAAAGATTCCATACAGTGGAATATGAATAGATACCCTCGACTAAAAACCCTATAAGAATTCATATCCCCACTAGCATCTTATGAGAACATAGCCCTGCTAATAGTAAGCTTACCACTTAATTTTTGCTAGTCAGCAAAAAATATTTGCATGTTTGGATTTCTTGAAGTTTTAATTAGATGTTTTACCTATGTTTCTATTGTGTGGAGCTTTAAAAAATATAATGTTTTTAATAAATGTTAACTCTATTTGTTATACATATTGCAAACATTTTTAAAAGACTGTCTTTTGTCCTTTATTTTTGACTTTGAAAAATTCTTTATTTCTATGCAATCTCAGATGCCTGGGTTTTTTTGGGGTTTTTTTTTAAAGGTTTTTAGTTTTCCTATCTCAGTTTAAAAAGTCATCACTACATCTAGATAGTATGCCTAAAGAAAATTTATAAGATAATATTTTAAATGTTTTGTTTACATTTAAGCTTTTCATTCATATGCAATTGGTTTTTGTTTATGCTGAAAGTATTGGATAAATTTTATTTTTCTAAAAACAGACAAGTTGTGTCAAAAGTTATGCATATATATCTCTTTCCCCCCATTGGATTAAAATATTACTTTGTCATATATTAAATTCCTTTATAAATTGGGATTTTCTCCTGCTTTTAAAAATTTTGCTGCGCTTATATAAGTCGTAAAATATATCTGCACCTATAAAACTTAGTAACTTATTCAGTTATCTGGATAAGTCAAAATATTTTCAGATAGCATTAAGATTCAAACCTGAAAATTTTGTTGTATGAGGCAGTCATAATAGTGATACAAAGAAAGCAACAAAAATCTTATGTTAAATTTGAATATACCTGTGAAATAGCATAAATTTTTACAAAATGATTAATCAACGTCGTAAAATTTATTAAATAGCTAACAATGAACAAATAAAGGAGTTCACATAAGCTATTAGATAATTTTATTCACAGAGTGACTAATTTTAAAGGTAGTTTTAATAGCTTCAGGTAAAAACAAAGATCCTATCACTATAAAGATACACATTTATTCAACTCTTTCTAAATATACCTAACATATATATGCATACACATTATATATATATTAAACTTATATATACAAATACTTATATGAGCCAGTCTCTTTATTTCACAATAAGAAAAAAGGGAAATAGTAAAACAAGGTCTCTACAGGAAGAAATTAAGTGGAAAACATTCTCACTGACCACAATTCATTTTACTATATTCATTTACTTGAATTAAAAGGAAATATTCAATAATCTCCTAAAAAAATCTTTCCTTAGAACAAATGAGTAATAATCTTTTTCAGGACTAAGGTGAAACACAAACTCATGATAGCTATACTTCAACTACTGTTTAATTTACTAATATTTTCCAATATCAAACTATTTTCCAATATCAAACTAATCTCGGTGAGTCATCAAGAGGAAAATTTTATTCTAGTTTATGTGTCCATTGTATTCTTTACATTCCAATTTCTAGAGGATTAAAAAATATAAAAACATTTAAAAGGTAAAAATTTTAAGCATAAGCATAAACTCAAAAGTCTCTAGATCTGCACAATTTTAATAAATATCTATAATTCACTTTTAGGACAAAAAATTAGAAATGAAAGATCTTATATTAATTCTAAATATTACTGATCATGAGCTTGGGAAAATCCTTATACAGTAAATACTAGGTCACTGCTGTTGCTAAAAGAACATATTATGTGCTGATATCGCTCAGTTTCTATTAAAAAAATTAGTTTAGAATCTTTGCTGGAAGAACACTTTTCTTGTTCTTCTATTTTTTTGTGTAGTCTCATTTCAAATTCTATTCTTTTCTGCATACCCTAAACCTGCTGCTCAGTTTTATGGAATGCCTACATCTCCTTTAGAAATTTAGTATATAAACTCAAACTAAATATCAATAAAATGAAAAAAGAAGCTTACAAAGTATGTACTAGACATGTATCCTCTGCATTTATGAATAGTACATATGTGATATATTTAAACATGAGGAAACCTAATCTTAGATTAATTAAACTCTCCAAGGTGATACAGCTAGTAAGTTGTAGAAGTTGAACCCAGATCTATATGATAAGCTATTCTCCTAAAGGCTGCACTTTATTGCTCGACATTTACATACCATTAGTTTAAAAAATATTTTCACACAGATTATTTAGGGTTTATCTCACTTGAATTCACAACAACCTTGAGACAAATTCTAAGCCTTCACCCCCAACTTTACTTACAAGATCATATATCTAATGTGGTAGAGATTTAATGAGGATCCTTTGACTTTTAGTCCAGTGTTGCATCACACTGTAGCTTTTACAATCATTTTTTTCATTAAGTGTAACTCACAACTATTTCCTTCTCTTTCCTATATTGTTGATAACCACACTTATCAGCAAATACATATTTTGGGAAAATAAGTTGGTTACTGCATTAATGACGCTCACCTATAGTTTATTCTATTGACCTGATTTGAATGGTTATTATTACTGATTTATATTTCAAAACTAGTAAATACCTAGTGAACTGTAGAAGGAGTCACATTCTATGAGAGCTTTAAAATAGTTTAATCTCTTTGTCTAACTGTCAAACACTTATTTAACAAATAATTTACTGAGTATCTATCAGGTACTTTAGAATCCTAGTGATACAACAAAAGAGAAGAGACACTGTCCTTGAACTCCTAGGAGCTTGATAGTTCACCAAGGAACAGGCCAGCAAATAGCAATAAAAAACAACATGCTGGAAGTAAAAATAGAGGAACAGAAAATATTCTGTAATAGTCCTAGAACAGAATGGCTAGTTGTGCCCATAGGGGAAGAACTCATTCTTGGTGGTGCCATAAAGGCAGTGAAGTATAAGAAAGACCTTACAGTCAGCCCACAGGAGTTGTCAGGGGTCCTACCATAAAAAACCCTTGTGTGTCATTTATACTGGATTACATTAATGAATGATAAAATTTCTACATGTAATACTCAAAAACTAGTAACTAGTCTCAGAAATGGCTTCCAAGCTTCAAATCCTCTCTCTGTGTGTGTGTGTGTGTGTATGAGAGAGAGAGAGAGAGAGAGAGAGAGGGAGAGGGGGAGAGAGAGAGAATTCTATGTCAAAGCTCTTTCTCACATTCAACTTGTGTAGCAATTTAGCCACTAATTCCTGCTGCTAATCTTCCCAGATTTCTTCTGTGGTCTGTTATTGCTTTCATAAGTTCCCTAAAATTGGGAGAACTGCAAACTAAAACTGCAGACTCATTCAACCATTTTTATATTGACATTTCCCCCTCTAATAATTAATGCTTTTAGTTGGCTTTCTCTTTCTCACGTTGGTCTTACCCAGATAGGACTGGTTTGGACTTCCAAGGCCCTTAAAGAATGTCACATTATTTGGTGGAATGTCACCTGGGCAATGAAGCAACACTGCTATGTTTTTCTCTTCCCTGGAGATCAGGAAATCTTACTCTGGAGCAAATTAATGGAGAAAACTATAATATATCAAGCATGGCCACAAAAACTTACCAATAAATTAGTACTATTGTGCAATATAGAGCATAAGTACAAAATGCTGAAACTGTAGATCCACAATGGTGATCTTCTCTATTACTTAGGGAAAGCAAGAAAGATCTTTAAAGGATACATTTTCTAGCAAAGAACATTAATAAGCTAGTTTTGAATTTAGCTTTAAAATGTCTTATAAAATTGCTCTTCTGGAATTTCAACTGTTTGCTCCTCTTGACAAAAAAGTTTATTGTAGAGAATATGGGAAGATACAGAAAAACAAAAATAAATTAGTAACATTTGCCATTCAAAGACAACGATTCCATCCACTTCATTTTTCAACAGTTTTTTAATAGGTTCTTCAATCACATTGGATAGAAAACTAAGATTTAACTGAGAATATTTTTCAGGTTGAGAAAAAGCGTAACTTAGAATTTTAAAAATCAAATCTGCAGTTTCTGTTAGGCTTTTCAATTTAAAAGAAGCAAGGAATTTTCCGAGTTTGCAATATAAATAAAAGAGTTTAACCCCAAACTGAAAACATTCCTCCATAAAGCACATTGTTTGGGATCAAAACATTGGTTACTACATTATATATGCAACAGGAGCACACTAGGTTGAACAAATACCTAAGCAAAATAATTTCTGTATTTTCACAAAATACTATTCATCAAAATCTGAAGAGGTCATTTCGAGTTTTACAAATGGGGAAAGCTAAGGAGGGCTACAACTGCTCCTTAATGTAAATTTACCACTGGTCAAGGAACTGATTGGGAGTGGCAATTAAGTAGGATTTTAGGGAGACATGGCAAGAGAGGCTGTCAGAGACAGAAAATATGGTCAACAGTATCTTCTTGAACCTCCTTACCTTTAAATTTACGATCAAAATACATCTGCTTGTATTTCCAGCCCAATTAGTTTCTGAAGGATTATGTCCCTTTCAGGGAAACCTAGTCACTTTTCTATAAGCTACTCTGGGTTCCCTGCTGATCACGACACGCAACACCATTTTTCAACGCCTCCCCATTCAATTTAGACTGTCGCATTACCAACACCTACTGTTTTAAAGCTAGTATATCTTCAGTTTAACTGTCCTCTACCTTTCTGGACCATAAAATCAGAGAAGAGAAAGGAAAAGGCCTTTTACCATTACAGTCCCATTTCAAAACATGAGAACACCTATAGAACGCCTCCCGCAGGGATGTCAGATACTCAATACTGAGAGCACATTCGGAAGCAAGCTTTACAGTGACTCCGCAATGAGGGCCACATCAGTGGCATTCCCTCCCAAGCCTGTCTCACCGGAGACGCCTCTGCCTTCAGGGTTTTTCCTACCTCCCCGGCCCCAGGCTGAAGGTGGAGGGCCTCTGCCACAGAAAGGGCTTTGGGGAATGGGACTTAAGAGACTACGAGGGAACCCCAAGGAGTGGTTGAAGTAATGCCCACTACCCAAAACCCCAAAGACTCCGAATAAGGAACTACAATGGCTGCATTCCTCCCCAACCCCGAAAAAAATGGAAATCTCTTTCCCTAGGTCGGCTGGTGTGTGGGGGGGAGTGGGGTGGGGGGACCAAGGTAGGGAGGCAGGGGTGAGGCGAACTGGAGGAATGAAATGAACTCCTGTCGGTGCAATATGACAGTGGGGAGGAACCCCCGGACAGCGGAGGCCGCCGTTCACATTCCCGCTTGTCTTCCTCCTTCCACCCCTTCTCCTAGCCCCACCAATGGCCAGTTACCGGTCGCCGCTCACCTGCCGGGGCGCGAGGTGCAGAAACTGTAGCGATCACAGACCCAGAGGCTCTGTCACTGCGGGAGGGGAAGTCTTCAGCTGCAGAGGGGGGCGGGCCTAGACACTCACGTGACCACAAGCCCCGCCCCACCGACCCCAGCCCGGCGCGCCGCATCTCGGGGGTCTATGTTTTTGCAGATCATTTGAATATTAATTTTCTTGCGATTAAAAAAAAACCCACACATTTTTACAATGATTATATTGTGAAGTGCATTGCAGAAGGCGTGGGTGGCCCGGGTTAAAGTGCATTGCTAAGGAAGTGACGTTCACGCCGGAGACCGGAAATGGCGAAGGAGTTCCGTCCTCCCGGGGCCCTCCGGTAAAATCCCAGGTTTAACAGTTCGGGGCAATCACGTGAGACCAAAATTTGAGAGGCGCTAAATGGAAATCAAGTTACCCAGCCAATTATGAATTATGCTTTTTTGTTTCAAAAGCACTCAGTTCGTTATATTTCAAAGAACCAGCTTCTTGAAATCCAATTAGGAGACAGGAGCGTTTGAAGGTCATTCAGGAGACTATCCACTTAGAAAAAACAGGGTCAGGCAAGATCGAGTTTATTAAAATGGAAAAGAAGAAGGAGGCGTGGAAAAATCCGGATTTTACCGCCAGGGCCTACCGGGCAAGCCCCACAAATGATGTAAGAAATGGGAGGAGGAACATGACGCTGGAGGGCACGGCCCAGTAGAAAGATGGAGGTCCCGAAGTGAAGGGGGAAGGGTGCGCGCGGTCAGCAGTGCGCCTGCGCACGGGGCGGCCGCCGCGCCGGCGCACAGAGGGGGCGGGGTGAAAGGTCACAGCGCAGCGGCGGGTCTGGCTGGCGGCGGCGGCGGCGGCAGCGGCGGGCGGGAGCCGAGTATCCCGTGCGCACGTGTGGCAAAGCGGCGGCACCAGCGCGGCGGCGGAGATACCTCCGCCCCCTCGGGAGACGCAGGGCCGCGCTCGACTCTCGCGGCCTCGGCCACCCGCTCAGCTCCCAGCCCTAGGCGAGGAGGCCGGCGAGTGGGGTTGAGTGGCCCGAGCAGAGGGCGCGGAGAGCTGAGGGCGGCGACGACGGCGGCGTTGATCTCGGCGGTAACGACGGCCGCGGCAGGCGGGGAAGATGAAAGGGTGAGGAAGGGCAGCCGGGAAGGGCCGGCGGCGGGAAGAGACGCCGGGTGAAGACCCGGCGGAGCGAGATTGCTGAGATTTTCTGCTCCCTCGCTCACGGAGGGGGGCGGAGGCTGGGCTCGAGGTGTTGGCGGGCTGAGGGGCCGGGAGAGACCGGACCCGGGGAACCAGGATTTCGGCCTGGAGGACGACGGTGGGTTGAAGGGAAAGTAGCCGCCGAGTGGATCAGCAGAGGAAAGCTCTCCCGAGGCGCTTGGGGCCTTACTCGGGAGCGAACGGCTGAGGCACCCCCGGCCCGACTCCTGGTGGAGCGGCTTGGCTGTCCTCGTCCGATCCAGGCTCAACCCTGGGACTTGGGAAGGCGGTCTTGGACATCGTTCGTTTCTGTTCACATTTGGGGGCCGTGCAGAACGTTCTGGAGGGAGAAAAAATTGGAATAAAGAGCATAGAGATGAGTAGTAAGGGCTAGTGACTCAACTGGATTTGGGTTGGGTCAGAGTAAGTGGAGGAGGGGTGGAGAGCGTGAGCGCTGTGAGATTTGGGGTGCCAAGTGTTTAAGGAAGTGGTGTTGATCAGTAGGTGGAGCTATTGCCTCAGTAGGTTACTATTGCCCCTGTTTACTCAGGGGGTCTTGCATACTGGGAAGCTTGTCTCAGGTGTTTGGCAAAGTTAGTATCTTGCCTTTCACTCCTTCCAACTTGGATAAAATTGAGAATTATTTCGGTTCGGTTATTACTTCCATTTAGTTAAGATGTCACCTTTTGGTTAAGGTATAAATTGTTGGAATATGAATTTCACGACGTGGGTTTTTTTTTTTTTAATATTGCCATCTTGGAACTACCCTTTTCTTTCCTTAGAGAAAGAAATGGATTTTTCTCAGTCTTAAATGCTTTCTGAGATGCCTGAGCTTCTTCTCTTAGAGTAAGTAAGTTAAAGAATTGTGATTTTTGCGTTCGTGAAGCCTTTCAAATTGTTCAGCAACCCTTTTGAAAGGGAAGAAATAAAAGTCAGTCTTTGAAATAGTCTCCTAGTGCCTAAAACGAGGATCTAAATATTATCTCCTTGCGTATGTGTGTTATTTTAGGTCATAGAAGACCTAAAGGTCTGTTTCTTTACTCTTAACGTGATTCCTTATTCCGATTTTGCTTTAAATAGTGGAAATTCATCCTAATGTTGAATTACATATTTTGTATTAAATTTTGGAAATCATGACGAAATCCTCATAGTACCTGTATTATTTCATATAAAATTCTAAAGTGTTTCAACCAAGGTACTAAGTGAGGGATATGGAAAATACTTTCTGCTTTTGAATCATGATCTAAGAAATTTGGCTCTTTTATATATGAACCAATATAATTTGGCAAGATTTTTCTGTTTTTTTCTGATAGACTCCTTGAGTATGGATGCTCTAACTTTTTGCATTCTTATTTGCACTCAATAGTTATTTATCCTGGTATGTTAAAGTAATAAAAATGAGACTGAAGAATTCCCAGTTTTGAAACTACATAAATTTCCAAAAGAGGATCTTTAAGAAATTATTCTGGATGTTTAGATCCAAAATCTTTGGTGTTGCTTAGTCTTGCTCTAGGGTGTAATATTCTTTCTGTTACCCAACTTTGCGATAGAACTGGCCAGAAAGAGTATCTAGGCAAATTTGGAGGATATTTTGTAGTTTTTAAACCTGTACATTATGCAAGCAACTTTGCCCAAAATGAATAATTCTTTTTTTAAAAAAAGATGATGTGATTATATCAATTGTTGGTTTGTTTTTTTTTTAAGGTTTGTTTATTTATTTGTTTGTTTATTTATGCAAGCACTGGGTACAGTCAGAAGCACGGGAGGGTGAGAGAATTCACCAGAGCCAGAGCGGGGAACAGAACAGGCAGACCGACGAAATACACTGCTGAGGGAAGCAGTGGGCACGGCAGGAGAGGTCTGCGCGCCATGTGGGACCCTCACCCGAAGGCTGGAGATCGAACCGGCGCTGCAGAGGCTGCGGTCAGCTTCGCAGCCCAGCGCTCAACCACTGCCCCACCGGGGAGGCCCCAAAATGAATAATTCTTAAATCCTATTGCTGCATATGATTTGTGGCTTAGAATGTGTTTTTTTTTTTTTTTTTTTTTTTAAAGATTTATTTATTTATTTATACAAGCACTGGGTACAGTCAGAAGCGCGGGAGGGTGAGAGAATTCACCAGGCCAGAGCGGGGAGCAGAGCAGGCAGAAGGACCGAAGTACACTGCTGAGGGGAGCAGCGGGCGGCAGGGGAGGTCTGCGCGCCATGTGGGACCCTCCTCCGGTGGCCTGGCCAGGAGCAGCCGGGGATCGAACCGGCACTGCAGAGGCTGCGGGCAGCTTCGCAACCCAGCGCTCAACCGCTGCGCCACCAGGGAGGCCCCTAGAATGTGTTCTTAACCGGAAAACTTAAAATGATTTTATAGGAATAATGCCTTTCAACTTTCCCAGTAAATCCCATCCAGATAAGATGGGACTTTTAATTTTTTTTTTCCCCCCCGCTTATAAATCTTGTAAAGGCTCTGAACAAATGAAGACGATTATTTAAAAGATTTTAAGGTCCTGAGTGAAAAGTCTGGTTGGTCACCATGCACAATGTTGTCAGTGTTCTATTTAAATATTTACATAATGCCTATATAGCCTGTCATTTTTAAACTACTGTCTTATTTTTCTTTAGTTTTTATTGTAAGAAACAATGAGGCATTGTATTGGCATGTATTTGTTTTATCTTTACAATTTTCAGTTATTAACTATTGCATGTATTTATATGCATGATGTAAAAATTTGAGGTCTACTATGGATAGTAGACTGTACTGAGGAACTGGTTTGTATGAACCAGGTACATTGTAGGTGGAATTTGTGAATGGGAAGTTGATTTACCTTTTAATCCTAAGGAAGTTGATGTTCAAACAAAAAGGTATGCCATAGACAGTCATGACTGAGGTGGCAATTAATTAGTCAATATAATAGAAAGTAAAACTGAAGCCATTTACCCTTCATTTGTAGTAAAGAGGTATAAATTAGTTCTAATGAAAATGCCTTTAACAAGATGTTAACACGTGTAAACAAAGTTAAGATGGGAAAATAGACAGGAATAACAAATATAGTGTATTGTAATTTATTAATTGAAATGTTAAAATACCAAATTCCACAGGCTAATGAATCTGTGTTGAAAAACTCAAATTAATTAACCCAAACATCCTGTGGAATGGGAAGGGGCACATAGGATTTCTCTGAAGTGTTAAAAATATTCTGTATATTTACGCTTGGGTATTGATAACATAGATAAATACATATGAAAAAATTGAGCTGTAGACAAGATTTGTGTTCTTTATAGTATGTAACCGCGTGGGTCGTTTGTTTGGTTGTTCAGATAACTGTTTTAGTCAAGGAGAAAACAACCACCAGTTAGACTTAGAGCTTGGGAAATTTTGTTAAACCTGTAGTTCATCCTCTTTGCCACTATGAAGCCGATAATTTGAGAGATGTATCTCAATACTACTAGACTTTAACAAATATTTTTGTAATGTTCCCTTTTTCCATTATGATAAATTAATATAAAATATAACCTACCTGATACTCGAAAACAAAACCAAACCAAATATTATGCCCTAACTAATATATAAGGGAAAACGGGGAAAGTAAACTTTCCTTTAAGGTAAATTCTAGTATGTAGACCATACTGAATATATGGTACCAACTATATAAAAAGTCACAAGATGATTAGATGTTTTCCAACTATCTGTAAGTAGAATCATTATATAATTTATAATGTATATCTGCTACCAGTGCAGATGTATGCATTTTTCTGTATTTGTTATCACTGGTATGATTTCTTTCCAAAATTGTGGATAGCTGTTGGCAAAACATCAAGGTTTTCTGAGCTGAAAAAGGGTTTTTTGTTTGTTTTTAAGGTTATCCATTACAAGACATTGTCTTTCAAAGACAGTGCATTCACCAGACCAAACTAATACCTACATTATATTTTACTTGGCTACATGCTCTATTTTGGCCAATAGAGATCCTTTTGACTCCTAATTTTCTACTCCCGGTATTAACTATGACTTCTAGTTTTGTGCTATCTAAAGAGATAGACCTTCTCGGGGGCCTCCCTGGTGGTGCAAGGGGTTAAGCACAGCACTATGAAGCTATTCTCAGCATCTGCAGCATGAGTGTCTGCAGCACGAGTTCGATCCCAGGCCGGCCAGGGAGCTACTCACATGGCACAGCAGACCTCTAGTGTCTCGCTCGCTGCTCCCCTCAGCAGTGTATTTCAGTCAGTCTGCCTGTTCTGTTCCCCACTCTGTCTCTGGTGAATCCTCTCACCACCACCACCTGCCTCTGCATCTCTAGCCTGTACCCCAGCTCTTGTATAAATAAATAAATCTTTAAAAAAAGAGAGAGAGGGAGAGATACACCTTCTCAGTTGTTCAAATGGTAGTCTTTTTTTTTTAAAGCACACCCTACAGGAACCCGTTAGAGTACTAGAATAACCAAATTACACATGACTTAAGTT